TATATTTGAGCTGTTTGTATTTGTTAAATTGAAAACCAAAAACTCTGTTTTTCAGGTAGTTTGATTATTACATGTGACTAGTAACATAGGTATCCCATAACTCAAAAGAAATGTTGTGTGACTGCTGTCATAACAGTTGTCCGGTAGACGCTTTCCACACAGAGGCAAAACCACAAGAGCTTTAGGCCAAAGAAGCGGGCCTTTTTGTGAGGTTCTGTGGATTTGGGAAAAGTTAGTGGTTAGATAAAAGTATGGTATGAAAAAAATGCATGAGCATAAATAACCACAGTGTTGAGAGCATTGTGAAGCCAAACTCATTCAAAAGTTTAGGTGAGGATCACATAAATTAGGCTACAGCTTTAGTCTGTGCTTCAACAGCTCTTATACACAGATGTATGTAGAATAGGACTGACAACTTGGCCATCACAATATGTCACTAATGTATTATTATTGCATTATCGCTCTAAACATCATGTGTATTGTGAAGAAGTGCCTGAACTGCAGTAAGTGTGAGCTAATTTTTAAAGTGCCATGCATTCAGGCTCTCTGTGTCTGCAATATATTTGGTGACACTTGTTATTTAATGCAGCATAAAAAATGTAAGTGGACGAGTCATTAAGATGCTGCAACTCAGCTGTTTTATTGCCAAAACAGCAATGTCAGCCAGAAAAAACTTTTTAAATAAAATGTTGTTGAGATGGAAACATTTAATGTTTGTTTTTTTTCTCAGTAGCTGCATAGACTTCACAATGTCGTATGTTTGTTATAAAGCCTAAGCGGGAACACATTAGTGCTGTTTATTTACCACATATCATTATCACACCGTTCATCAGATTTGCCACATTTGCTAATATTGGGCAGCCTTAGCCACAGCTGTCACATTCATCGTTTTTAGAATTTCATACTTCTTCCTGGGTTTCAATTCTTATTGACAATGCAGGATTCTGAGCTACCTTTTCTCTTTCTACTAATTTTTTTTATATATTTAATTATTATGCAACTTCTTGCACATCCTTAGCACAATAAATAAATGTTTATTAAATAAATATTTTTGCCTAGAAGGGGAAAACATTAAAGACGACATTATATACAGTATTATGAGTTTTGGACTTCACAAGGAAGTGGGGTTGTGGATATTTGTTGTTTTTTTTTTTACTTATACCGAAAGCCATATATTTCAAAATGGTGTGTGGTCCAATTCTACAGGTTCTATCTGCCACTCAGTATTGCAAAACAAATCAAGTTACACGAACCTAAAAGTGACGCAATATAAAAATCCACAGTGGAGTTTTCCTTTGAATGACTGACTGTTTAAGTTGTTTAGGTTTTAAGATGTTAAAGTTGTCATAAAAATGTGATTGTATCAAGCAGCCATGCCAAACTTTGGTGAACTTGGTTTGCTCATTGTATATACTGAGTAATTCAGTTCTCCACACACAAAAAACAACAACTGATTTATAGTTGAGATATATAGTCCGTGTAAATAATCTACTAACAGGAGCTGAATCATTGAGCATGCTGGTTAGGTAAAAAATACTGAAGAGGTCAGTATTTTTTAAATAAGTTTGATACAAGTATTTTTTTTTCAAATACATAAAGTAGAAGAACAAAATACCCTAAGCACAGGAAAGGGTTAGTATTCCTACAAACAGCAGTGCATAGCTGATGTGGTGAAGGAACAGTACTAAATAAATAGCATAATAGAAAAATGTAGCTTTTTTATTGGCTTTTTTTTTCATACTTTTTTTAACTTTGATATACCTTGATGACAAGATTGTACTTCTGATACTTGCTCATCAACTTGCAATCAACTCAGAAGGAGCTACTTTAGTTGATTTTACAGTTCACAATGAAATTAAAAGGTTTCTCGGTGTTTCTACAAAAAGAGCATTACGTGCTGCATGTTGCACCCAGGTTCATATACTGAGGATGTTATGCCGGAACATAAAGCGTATCGTTGTGATTAAATGAGAGCCGCTAATGCCCGTTTTTAGTATGGAGCCCTGCTTTCCTGTCAATCATTAACATCATTCTGGTCGTTCTGTTGGCTAATATTAGTCTGCCCACACAGCACAGCGGCACAGTTTATATGCAAATAATGCAGCCTTTTTGCTCTGAGATTCTAATAATACACCACACCCAACGATGCCACCAAATGTGACAAGTTGTCTGTTGTTTTTCACTTTCCACTTGATTTGCCACATGAAGGCAGTTTTTTGTAATTATCTGCTTTCTTTTTGTTTCTCTGACATGTTGCTCTGTTTCAGAGAATTGCTGCGCTTCTTTGCGAAACTACTCTCCAGGGACGACGTTGGAGTATTTCTGCTCTTACTAAAGAACTGAATTTTAGCTAAAATCATTGGTGAGCAGAGAGTTTGTCTCATGAACAGAACAATGAATTTTAAATGGCAGAAGACTTTTCTTTGCCCACACAAGGTTCAATGGCTTATGTGACCCTTGCCTGTAATAGTACCTTAATGCACTGGATACACACTGTAACAGGTGGTGTGGGTTAATGATTTTCTTTTTCAAACCTTTCACAAAACATTAGGCATGGAAACCTTATATGCATGTTAGTCCCAGCTAGCTTTTCAATTTTTATTTCTTTGAGTGTTTCATCAGAACAGCTAGAAATGAGAGACACACACCCTTAGGATGAAGGATTACGTTGCGACAGGTATTGATATTTTGTAGAATATGTGTTAAAAAGTAATATATTTACAAATGTCACACATTTAAAACTATAATTAAATGCCAATGTCAAATTTGCCAAACAGGAAACCTGACAAACACACAGTGAATATAAATATAACATGATTAACATAAGATTTGTGTTTTATTACGAAATTGAAGTTTGAATGTGCCACATCGAAAATGTAAATATGAAGTTCTTCAGAACCATAATGTCTTGACGTCAATAGAAATCCCCGTTATTTTCCTAATTGACGTAATGAGAGGTGACATCATGATGGCGTCACCTGGCCAATTAGTGTCTGTCTGATGTTAAGCTGGTGCCACAGGCATTAGACAGGAACCTGTTTCTGACAAAATCCTCATCTGAGGTTAGGCACGTTTTCTTTTTTTTTAATCAGCCCATGAATCAGTTAGGGATTTTTTTATTTTATTTTTTTCCTTTTTGGGGAGGTGGGTAAAAGTGGGGTTGAGATTGGGTCATTCTCAGGCCATGGGTTTAGAAACCTTTTTGTAATTTTTCCATAAACTGAGTCACACTCTACTTCAGAACATTGTGTAAAACATCCACTTATCTACTCTTTCCACTTGCTAACACCTGGAATTTTACAGGTGAGCAGTGCTGCAGTTTGTTGATGTCATTGGATCTGTGTGACTATCTCTTCTTTCTATTACCTTTTGTTGTCTATAAAGTGAAATACACCAATGGTATGATTTAAACTATAGGTAAACAAACTGTAGGTTTGTTAATATATTTCCTTCTTTATGCCATTCAACCAGAAGCAAGGAAATTCTTAAACCCTTAAACTATCAGTCAGTGGATACATGTGAACAGCATTGTCCTTATGTCAGTTAAGGTTTTTTTTAAGCTCTTATCTTTTTAAATAAAACCAGGATTTTTTTGGTTTGAGTTTAAAATTTTCCCAGTTATTGAAGAAGTGTTTCAAATTTGATTTGATTTTGAAATCCATCCAGCTATTTTGGCGCAAAGTGACAGTTTGTCATGATTTATTTTTTTCTCATTTCTTTTTTTATTGTACTGGGCAGACTTACAACTTTATTTAATTTGATCAAACTGAAGAATCTAGATGTGGTCCTTTTATGGTTTTTGTATACATCGGCCAATCTTAAATGCACCATCTAGCAGAGGAACAGACCCTCAACTTGATGTGTCACCACCATTCAAAGATCATTACTTACAATGATCTTGTATCTGAAAGTCACACATTTACTCCTCCAAACATTCTTCTTGTAATTGCGGTCAAATACCTTGACCCTTGACTTCTAAAGTTTTCTGCAGAAGGCATTTGGCTTCTCGTTGTGGAGAGGAGCAAATTTCAGTGGCATCCATTTTTAGAGCAGGTGCTTTTCTTGTCAGTTACCTCTGAGTCCATGGTTATGTTGAGGCTTTTTCTGGTTCTTCATGTCAAAGCCGACTTTTGAATTGATAAAGTGGGCTAACTCTCAGCGTCTGGAATGTCCACTGACCTCAAGTCTTTAAAAATGTCTGAACTATGCTTAAAAGCCAGGTTTGTGCCAGAAAACCAATTAATCAAATAAACTTTTCCTTTTCTGATGGAATAAAAAAAACAAAGCGGTCAAAGATCGAGAACAGATTCTGTCTGAATAATATCGGTTTTTGCAACTCTTCAACTAGGTATGGAGCATTTAGCCAAATATTAGTGACAGGTGTGTGTTTATTCAAGAGTATGCATTATTCCAACCATGCACGGAAAAAAATTTAAACCACACTCCCCATTAAAATCCCATAATTTTCATTCCTGCTGATGTTGACTATGGAGAAACTTTGAGGCAAGAACAAGTAAAGATTCTGTTCTATTGAATTTGTGTCTTACTGGATCCCTGGTATTTGTCTGTGGCCTCTGTCTATCAAGGTTAACAGGCAAATCTTAGTAATCTGAAGCCTGAGTGATGAGGATCCGTCTGCCAATGTCATTGTGTTCTTCCTTCTCGTCTCCTTCCTTCGCTGCTCCCACTCTCGTGCTCTCTCTTTACTGTGGTCAAGGATGGGAACACTGAGTACCGTCAGCACATTTTTCGCATTCCCCTTTTGAGGGGTTCGACATCAAGCCCCCACTGAAAACCGACTGAAACACATGTAAAATGCTACTTTTTCTTGCCAAAGGGCATTAAGGCTCTCATCGGATGTTTTATCTGTACCTCATGTCATGAATGACCTTCTGGCTAGAAAACTTTTCACAGCTTGGTTCTTAATTTAAACACTCTTTTTACTTGTCGTCTTTTCCTGACATGTTCGTTTTTAACGCCCTCTTTCTTCTCTCTGCCAGCGTCGTGTTGTGGACGGCAGCGGCAAACATGACGGAGTATAAGCTGGTGGTGGTGGGAGCTGGAGGCGTGGGCAAGAGTGCGCTCACCATCCAGCTCATCCAGAACCACTTTGTGGATGAATATGACCCGACTATAGAGGTATGACTGCGTATTCTATTATGCCTGTGGATGTCACCCAGAGATTGAAGTGGCACTGAGTAGCTCATAATGCGAAAAAAATATTAATTATTCCCTCTTGAACTGTTGTGTTTTTGTATTAGTTCTGGTTTTATTCAACAGTGGATGATTTATCTCTAGTTTTAGAAACTATCTTTATACCTTGAATATTAGGCATAGAGCCTCGAATCAGATTTTCACAGTGTGGTCTCCTAATGTTTATACTAACAAAATAATTAGACAGAAAAATGTCTAAAATATCTATTTTTATGTAATTGCCTTTATTTGATTACAATAAGATTACAGCAGCAAATTGCATTAATCTTTGGTTCTTACTGCCTGAAAAAACTCAGGATCTTTGTCTGGTGTGTCATTAAATGCACTCTGAGCTGTAGAAATGCTTTGACATGACATTTCAGCGGCTTAGACGGCAGAAGCGTAGAGTATACTGTGAACCTCACTGACATGAAGGCTTGATCTGAGCCATGTTTCTCTCACTGGATGCATTGGAAGTTCTGTCGACTCCAAAATGTTCAGACTTTGAAGAAGTTTGCTCGACCCTCATATTTTATATCATCATGGATCTCGTATGAGGAAAAAATGTGCAATGCTTGTATCAAGAAGGCAGCCAGGGAGAATATTTTCCCTCCTCTCTTTTCTCCCTTTTTCTATCAGTCTCCCCTCTCTCCCTCACTTTCTCACCACGCCTGCCTCTGGCCAGACAATGTCCTTTTTGTGTATTTGCATTCCTGGCCCCTATGCTCGAACAAACAAAGGGAGAGCACTCCATGTTTTTTTGTGTGACTGCATGTTGGAAGGCTAAACATTGGCTCTGATACTCTGCTCCTCTGATCCCCTCATTTTTCATGTGATCTGAAAATGGGCCAAGATTTACTGGGAAGTAGAGATTGATTCTCGATGACCGAAATCTAACCGGGTCCATCTTTCTACTGGACATCCTTCCTCACCCTCAGTGACCCAACAGCAAGACATGTCACCTGGAAAACGCAGCAGCCTACATCAGATCCCCCTTGAACTATTTGTTTGTAATTCACATACTTAGACAGTGCTTCTATTTATGATCATTTAATTTTTGTCCACTTGCTATACAGTGTATAATAGATAAGTATAAAATGACTTTAATATGGACTTCTGCAGGGAAGGAGCTAACAGGTTAGGCAGGTGTACGCTGTATAAATCTCCCTCATCAGCTGATTTGGTGAATCAGCCAAACATGATTCCTTAGGGTTCATTTTCAGCAACAACTAGAAGCCCTGGAAGGCAAAGTGGATCAGAAAACATTCTCTGATGCAGTGGCACAGATGACAGAATCTAAAGGTTTACTCGTGTTTTTTGCAAACACTGAAACACTGGAATATAACACTGCCTGGACCATGGAGTTTATGTAACTCCATGGTCATTGTTTGGCTGAAAAAAAGAGGTACCAAGTGTTTGTTGTGAAATTGCAGATTCGTTGAGGCTTGTAGCCCTTTGATACAAACACTTTCATTTTGAGTTGACTTAAGTTGCTATAGTCATCAAGTGTCTGAATAGCTTGCTAGCCATTCACTACCACACTTATCTATTTTTTTAAAATCTCACATAATTATGAGTTTAGTCATTTCTCAAAAGTCAAAATAAAAAGGATTTTATGGCCTAAGCTGATAAATAAACTTTACCAACACTACTGCAGATAGAAGCTTTAGTAAAACATGGAACGCCTTACTCGAGGGCCGACTGATTACTTTTTAAACTTGGCCTGGGTCTCCGGTGATCCAGTTCCAGTATCCATCTCTCCGGGTTGGATGAGTCCAATGTCAACACAACAGGTGATTAATCACTCTGGGGAAACTCCCAAGGCTGGCTGGTGGTTCTGTTCCTTCCAGCATAGATACTGGATGTTTGGATTGTCAAAATGTTGGGTTACATCAGAACTGGTTTGCTAATAGAGGGAATAAACAGAAACTTGTAATCTTACAGCAATTTCAATCTGACTTCACGCAGGTTAATTACTAAGTCTATGTGCAATATGGACAAGCAACATTTGACACAGCCGTACCAAAGGAATAGACGATCAGCTATTTTCCTTATTTTGTGGTAGTGGAACTTTTTGTTTTTTAACAGACAAAATAAAATGAACCTTTATAAAACTCTTTATTCAATGTCTTCAAAGATTAACCTTCACATCCTGTTAGGCACTCTGATAACAATACTAAATCATCCTCATGTTTTGAACATCCCAGTCTGCCACCTGAGTTTTTAAATTTGACTAAATCTGTAACAGTGGTCTGAAAAAAGACGTTTCTGTTTAAAAGCACACATTCGATGTGTGTCTTCTCAATCATAAGAGCAGTTAAGCATTTTAAGGTATGTGCTGCAGAAAGGTAAAGGTCTGATGGTTCTGCTTTTGATGTTGCAGTTCCTAAACTCCAAAGACTCTCTAATGTTAACTGTTCAGTTTCTGCAACAGCTCAGAGATGACTCCCCTCACCATCCTCTTCAGGGCCCTCTTGTCTGCCAAATTTCTGTTGGAATACAAAAAGATTTGCATAAATTAAAACATTTGAGTGTCTCCTTTTTCTGAAGGACTCCTACCGGAAGCAAGTGGTGATCGACGGGGAGACGTGCTTGCTGGATATCCTGGACACTGCAGGTCAGGAGGAGTACAGTGCCATGAGGGATCAGTATATGAGAACAGGAGAGGGCTTCCTCTGCGTTTTTGCAATCAACAACACCAAATCATTTGAGGACATTCACCAGTACAGGTGTGTAGGAAGACATCCGGATATATATACATATATATACCATTGTTAGAATATCTGATACACGAAAGATTGTTTAGTCTTCTTCTTAGCCCTCCTATGTGTGTCTAAATGTATATCTGAATATGTTACAAGGGCTCCTATGGGGTCTGGATTCAGAGGGCTTTGTGTCAATGTGTGAGTGTGCCAGCTCTCTGCAGTAGTAGGGTGATGTCATGCTGTAGCGTTTAACACAAGCTAAAGAAAGCTTAGCCCCCAACTGGAGGCTTACAGTGTGATGCCAATGAAATTGATCCTGACTCAATTAGAGGAGCAGGCAGAGGTAACGCTCCCAAGGACAGGGAAGGAGAAAGCCGGCGGGAAGTGGGGAATTTCTGCTGGAGATGACAGGGCTCTTTATCTTTGTCAAATTGTGTCTTTCTCATCACATTAGACTGTAATTTCAGAGCTCTGTTGAAAGTAGAGTGCGTCAGAGAACGCATAGAATTGGTGCTAGAATAGACTTAGGAAGATTTTGAGCTATTAAAATAGCCCTTGTCTGTTTTTATAGGCAACAGTCGAGTTTTTACTTGAGTCCTACTTGTAGCACATGACGGTGCATTAAAATAGCAGTGCTGACTGTCTGCTGGAGAGGATCATATATGCGGGGTTATAGTGTTGCATTAGGATGAAAATGGACTGAGCTGACAGTGGCAGAAGCTTCCTGCTGTACATGAGTTGATCTGATGTGACCCACTGCTCTCACTCAGTCGCCCCCCCCCTCAACCCCCAGGCTGCGCAACGTTTGGCACTTGCTGCTGTAGTGATGAGGTAATGCTGTTTGCCGCCTGCCTGTTGTCTATCCCTCCACCTCCCCCCTCCTCTGTTTCTCCCCACCGTCCTCCTTCAGCAGTGCAGCACAGCCCAGCATAGACCTGCCATGGCTCTACCTCTGGGTCCTAAAGTTCCCTGGGTGATAGTAGGTTGCTTCTCCTGATGGAATCGGGAGGATCCCATAGACGTAGACATGTTATTGTGGATTACTACTACAAGGACTGCACAATATGTCACAAGTGTATCCTTAGCATTTATTGTGTGCAATATTAACATCACCACAGACTGTTTTGAATGTAATAATTGGTGGCATTTTGTATTCAAAGTTTTAGGAATTCATGCTTTGCATATCAACAATGCTTTCGTTTTCACCATAACAGATGCAACACAATGCAGGGTACAGAAAATGTTTGTTTTTTTTCACACCTGATATTGTAATCATGTGATTTCCCAGCATTGTTCGTCCTTAATTAATCCTTAGATTACCTGTACAAAGGGATGGGGAGAGACGATTTTTTTGGGGGGGGGTTTTGTAAATTGTAGTCTCAAATTCTGCAATCTTTCAATTCACAGAGAACAGATCAAGCGTGTGAAAGACTCTGATGATGTACCCATGGTGCTTGTGGGAAACAAATGTGACCTCCCAGCACGCACAGTGGACACAAGGCAAGCCCAGGAGCTTGCTCGCTCCTACGGCATCCCTTACATTGAGACCTCAGCTAAGACACGACAAGTAGGTGTTCAAAATCTGTTTTCTATTTTTCTGTTTTGCTAAAGTAATTCAAGCTTTCAATGACATGTATTTTTTCCCATCTCTTCAAACCTTAGTCATATTTTGTATTATGCAGTAATTGGACAAATATCCATTTGCATTATGCATTAAAATCAAATCCATTACAGCCTGCAGCACTCTAATTCGGTCTCAGTATTTTACTTTTCACATTTTCAAGCACACAAAACGGTGCATGGCCTGTGGTGTGAAGTAATTTTTGCAGCCGAGAACATTTTTATTATGCTGCAGGCAGTGAGTCATGGCGAGCTTACGTTGGCCTAGAGTAGAGCTACATCATTTATAAAGCCTTCTTAGGAACAGTTGCAGCAAAGCTCCCACTGTCTGTGACTCACTGTCACACATTCATTTGTTGGTACTTACACACTCCCATTCCGACTAGAACCTGTTGATTCTTTGTCACTCACATTTTCTACCCAAAGATTTAGCATAGATCAAGGTTGTGCTATAAACTGGTGAAGGGGTTGCCATGGTAGTTTCATCATGTGATGTGCACACCTGCTGCTAGTTATAAAAGATACATATGTGGTCCTTTGGTTTTCTCCTGGTAAGAGCCTCCATTTTTCTGTAACCCTGTTTGTGTGTGCTTGCAGGGAGTGGAGGATGCCTTCTACACACTGGTGAGGGAAATAAGACAGCACAAGCTGAGGAAGCTGAATCCACCTGATGAGAGCGGCCAGGACTGTATGAGTTGCAGATGTGTGGTATCGTGATGCAGGTGAAACATTATGAACTCAGTAACTGTCCCTCCATTGATCTGGTCAAAGGTCTGCATACACCATGGGCATGAATGTCATGGAAATTGTGTGTTTTTCTTTGTTTTTAATGATTCATATTAGCATATCCATCCATTAATCTTGTGCAGAGTTGTGGGGGTTAGTGTCTATCTCCAGCAGTCAGTGAGCAAGAGCCAGATTCCTCCTGGGTTAGTTTACCCAATACTCAAACTCCATATAATCAAGGTCTCATGCAGGATTCAGCACATAATTGTGGCATTACATTAATTCTCTTATAATACAACAGACTTGTTTTTTTAGAGCAGAGCTTGACTTCTCCAGTTTATCTGTAATTTTCTCTCTAATCCAAGTGTGGTCAGAATTACACACACCCAATTTGGTTCAGTGTCCTTTGACAAGTTTCAGAGAATCTATGCTAAATATGAAATCCAGCACAAAATGCTGGGAGAGTATGTTGCTTTTTTGTTATTCACGAGTGAATAGCAAAAAAGAAATTTTCAATGGCATCATTTAAATTCCCAAAATGACCATAACATTCATACCCATGTTGCAAGTATATAAACCGTTCAGCGTCCCTGCATATGACTGCTGGAAGTCATTTTAATACTAAATTCTGATAGTTTTTCCAGAAATGATAACATTTCAGTGCTGTCTTCTGTTGTTTTATGTTTCAGCTCTCCATTACACGTTGAGGAGAAATGCTGCAGCGTAAAGTCGAAAAGTGATGGATAAAATAACCTAAAGATGACACATGAACTTTAACTAAAGGATGATGACTGAAGTGAAAGCTCATAAAGGAAACCAACACGGCTGACTGAACCATAGACTCTTACGAAAAAGAGGATTTTTTTGGACTGTTGCCTGAGTGGCTAGCTGAACTGGATTGGTCCCATCTCCTAATTTCTTACCATTTTTATGTTTTGTTTTGGTCTGCATTGGCCTGCGAGCAACACCACTAACGACTTGGAACAAGCTGTGTTGCTCTACGTTTCTCTTGCTAACTTATTGTTTTCAGTCTCGACACTGGTTGTGAAGAGGGGGTGTTTCCTACTCCCTCCCTCTTGCCTTGAAACCTAATCCCCCTCTCCCTACAGAGCCTCTGGAAGTACTGACTGACTCTCATTTGGGAAAACAACTGGAAAGAACTTTTACTTTTTATTGTCACACTGCATAAATAATCAGCCTCAACGCACTCACTCTACCTGTGCTGGGTTTAGTTGGGCGGCTCCTGTTATTGGACTGTTCTACTGGAGAAGAAAAAAAAAACAAAAAACGTTTTTTTCATACTAATTAGTGTAAACTGTAAAGGAAAAGTGTGGATTTTTGTTGTGATTGGTAGATTTGAAAGCCACTGAAACAGTGCTTATTTCACACGCCACCTGCTTTGGTATTTTTATTGACCTGTCTTTGAAATGACAGAAGGTTCTTTTGGGATAGATGTGTTGAAGGGAGATTACTGAAATGGGTTGATTTCAAGGATGCAGCTGCATTCACTAATTACAAATGTCTCATTGTGAAATGTCTTTGCAAAATAATAATTGTGACGACTGGCGTACGTATGTTCTGGTGCAATAGAACTCCACCCTCCCAACTGCAAGTGTTGGAAATACACTTCCTTAGACTTCTCTATTTCAGTTTAGTTTCACAAGGAAATTTGCAAATTAATGTTGTTGGGTTTTTGTTTTTTTGGGTTTTTTTTTCACATTTCTTTTCAGTAACTAGTGTTTACAGCTCTTACTTGTGAATGATTCCTATTCTCAGACTGAAAGATTTGCTTCTTTAAATCATAAAGGCTCAGGAACCAAGGTCCAGGAAGGGCTCATCTAACTTGTCCTGGCAGCCAAAGTAAGGTGTGTCAGAAGTTGGTGTTGCAGACTGTTGTAGCGCACAAGTCCTGCCTCAGAGTCCAATGTCTTTTTTTTTTTTTTTTTTGCCACAGACATACACACACCGATCTATCCTCAAGTTCCTCCTTCTCTGCCACCTACAGCTCTTCTAAAGGAGCGACAGCAAGTCAGGTGCTTATTTTATGAAACCATATTTACTGTACATGTGGGACTAATGTGTGAAACAGATGATGGATGGTGGACTACAGGAGTGTGTTGCTTGGACTTTTTTTTTTAATGCTTCTAGGCTTGTGCTCTCCGAAACTAATTTGTTTGCTGCCTAAAAGAGACTTATGTGTTTATTTTGCCTTATCTTTTATTTAGTATTTACCTTAGCAGCAAACTCTACCAGAGGTGATGTTTGCTATTTTTTTTTGATGATTGATCTGAAAATATATGATTGTGTTAAACAAAATCATGAAAAAAAAACACTACAGGTTATTATTATGTTTTGCTCTTCTGTAATAGCATCTTTCTGGATTGGATATTTACTTGTTAAAACACATGACATATATGTCAAATGAGAAATGAGCTGGTATACAACCTGTTGCCAAAATGGAACCAGTTAAAAAAAATTACATTCAATGTAAATGTACCAGATTGATTTATCAAATGTGGAAATGACTTGAGCACTAGCAGGTTTTGAAATTTGCTTCATTTGTGGATCTCGGGCATATTTTCAGGTTTCAGTGAATGATTTCAAATTTTACTTGGCTGCATTTTGTATTACATCTGGTCTTAGCTGATTGTTGTACAGTTAAAACGCCGAAATCTATCGCGTGGATTCTGGTGGCCAGTTTGTTTTTTAATTACTTGTTCATTTCTCCTCCAGAGAAAAGTCACAAACTGTGAATGTGCTTGGGTCTTTTACATTTGGTTTGAAAGACACTTTGTGTTAAGATTATGGAACTGATGTAGGGGGTTATCATTGACCCCACCTTGGGCCGTGTTGTTTAATTGGGGGGTGGAAAAACTGGAGTTTGTAACATGGAGTTACAGTTGTGGTGAAGCCCCCCACCAACTTTATTTTTATTTATTTTTTATTTTTACAACAGTTCACTGATAGTATAATCATAGACTCACAAATCTATGCACACAACCCCTTCTACTCCCCATCGCATTAGAAAAAGCAGCAGCATGTTGTTGCAAAACTCGGCCACCAAATCACCTACATCATACGGTCTTGTTTAAAACCTTGGCAAGCATGACAAAGACCGTATGAACCATTGAGGTGGGGCAGGTGGATGGTTTGCACAAATGTAATGAGCTCAAAGGCTCATTTCTCCCCTTGCAAACCGTGGAATAGAGGCGTGAAAGAATTTTGTGAAAATGTCAGCTGTGTAGCTATTTAAAATGTATTTACTCTTTAAAAAAATGTGGCAAATGTATTGCAGGACAAGAATAAAGATGTCAAGATGAATCTTTTCCACTTTTCATTTTCTTTTTTCCGGCTGCCATCTACAGGCCGATGTGTGTATTGCGTAAAATGGTGGCCTATTTTCATCCCACCAAACTATAAATGGCTTATATACATATAGATCTGTTTACTGGTCATAGCATTGTAAAACATTGATGTGAAGAACACTACAAATCCATTCAATAGATTAGAATATTATTGAAAGGTCCATTATTTTAAGAATTTTATCACTATGTGATGGCTGGCAATTGTGAGGATTTTCTGCTTACAGTTAATGAAAGCATGACATTTAAAATTAGAATATTGTTAGAAAAAAGTGCCCTTCATAACAAGTACATGTAATATCTGCTTAAATGTAAATTCTTAAAAGATACTTTTAAAAGAATGACGAATGGACCAAACTAGAAACTAGGTTTTCTAGTTCTGACTCAAGCATTTACTCTAAATCCGCATTCATCTAGTTACACTTACACAAGTACAAACATTCATTTATAGATACACAGATTGTTAGGCAACTTAGCTTAAGTTGCTTTAGTTATTCACAACCTGATCTCTAAAGTTCCTGCATGATTATTTTATTTGCCTTGGCCTGCCTGTGGTTGAGATGATACATCTTATTTAGCAATACTATTGTTTCACAGTTCTGTTCTGGATTCTAAAGAGAGGAACCACAACAACGCCTGGACCACAGCATCTTTAGTATGCAAGACAAGTTACCTGTGGGAGCCAAAGCTAATGGAACAAAGAGATGAGATCCAACTGGATTCAGAGAAAGCATAAATAGGCTTTCTGTGATCACATAGATTCTGTATCGAACTCAGACAGAAAGTTTGACAGAAAGTAGAAATCTAGGTCAGAGCATCTCTAACTGCTGGTTTCCTTCGCATCAAACGTATCGAAGGACGGTGATCCAATGACGGAGGGCAATGGCTGCGGGCTCTTTCAGCGATATAAAGAGTCCTGATAAAAAGGCACAAAAAAAAAAAAGATTCAAGACCGGTTTGAGAACCAAAATAACAATGTCATACGCAGGATGTGCTAAACAAACGCATCCAATCAATGAAAGGTCAACTTGGAACTAACAAAAATACATGACATTAGGACAGTTTCCAGCTAAGATTAGGCTACTCACGACTCGTGTTTTTCAGATATATTGTTTAAACTAGAACACCTGTGAATTTATTTGAAAATATAGAATTATAGCTGTGTGGATGCTAAATAAACTAAACATGACTTAAAAAGCTTTGGTGCTAACATCATGGTAACAGATAAGAATGCACACCCTCAGAGTTTTAATACGTCTATTAACTGCTTAATGCTGTTTTTGGAACATGAAGAGAATCAGCACAGCATTAGGTAGGTCATCATACTGTTGTGCCTGATTATGACTGCAAAATGTGATAATGTAGTGACGCACAGTGGCTAAAGAACATAGAAACGCAGTTAAAACAAAGTTTTAGTCGCATGTACAGTCTACAAAAAGGTTCTTAAATGCTCACACCATACATCTTGTTATTAATATAAACTTGAAACATAAAGAAAGAGATCATTTCAAGTGCATATTCCCTTATCAGCAAATCTTAAAGGAAGCTATGCTGTTGACCTCAAAATAGGTCATCTTTGTTATTGTGCTTTATTTTATTGCTCAACCTCAACTGGAGACAATGTTGATACAACAATATTGCTCTTGTAAAATTATTGGAAAAGATCATCTTAGTTGGGAGTGAAATTCGTTGTAAGCTTATAATTGGACATTTTGCTCGGGTTGCAGCATTTTATTGCTATCTCTAGTTACATCTGACAGTTATGTTGCAACCTTAATGGTAGCGCTGGATAACTTATTTGTTTCCTTTAAAAAGTGTTGAAAAACAAGCAAAATCATTCATGACTGCTGCATTGCAGAATTGATCTAAAAAGAAAAGCTAATTTTTTCTGTTTGTTTTTCAAAGCCATGAGGTATTGCTCTTTGTACATCAAGTCATTTGCATAATTGTGGGTCTGTTCACTTCCTGGCTGTCCAAGGTTATAAAAGACAGGAGGTTGTCTTCAAGGCAGTTGGGTTGAAAGTTGATTGCAAAGAGAAGGCCTTTCTCATTCTTTTGCTCTTTTTAAGCATTTTCAAAGAGAAATCTAATTTTATCATGAAATTCACTGTGCAAACGATAAGGAAAATGCTTCCTAAGGTAAGTTCTTTTTCAATTCAACTAATAGCCCCGAGCATTTATTTTTTTCAGTTTTGAAACCATTTCTTTGCTCTGTTGTATATATTTTAAAGGAATATTTGCGAAAATATGTAGCCCATCAAATTTTCGACTCCATGTATTACTTCAAAAACCTGGTGCCTAAGATGGATGAGTACGGTATGCGACAAAATAACGACTCAAATTTTTTGTCAGTCTTAACACTGTGAATCTATACAACAGAAGAAATTATAATTTGAGATATCTGATATTTGGTCTACTTTGTACAGTGTACAAAGACGGAACTACAAAAAGTTTAATGAACCTTACAGGAACCCTTCCAGTGGTGTATTCAGGTAACTGAGTTTGTACTTTGACCCATGTAAAACAGATAGCCTCATTATTGTTGCTTGACGAACAATAAAAAACCATAAAGCAGTGCTCTTTTCTCTTGCCTGAGATATATATATATATAATCTTTTCTCTGTTTTAATTAAAGGCGAAACATACAATATCCCCATATGTGTTTGGATTGAGCCAAACTACCCCAATTCTCCACCGATGTGTTACGTGAAGCCAACACCTGAAATGATTATTATCAAAGGACAGTACATATCCAGTGATGGTGAGGTCACAGTACCTTACTTGAAAGCTTGGAAGAAGGTAAAAAAAAAAAAAAAGCTATTTTAATTAACTGAAACATGACTTTGATTCAACAAATTTGTATTTTTAGGTTATTGTTTCTGGGTAGTGACATTCACACTTCACCAAGAAGTTTTTCTTTCCTCTGTAGAGTGACTGTGACTTATCTAGCCTGCTGCAGTTGATGGCCATCATGTTTGGAGAGTTTCCTCCATTAGCAATGCGTTCCCATCAAGAACCTGAGCAAGCCTCATGTAAGTAACAGGTGTCAAAACAATAGCTTTGAGTTAAATATCAACTATCTTTCCGATGATCTTTCCTCTTTGAAATTATAACTGAGGGTTTGAGATGTCATTTATTGTAAACTGTTATTTTATTTAGGTTGGCTGCAGTTCAACAAAGAAGCAGATGGGAGATATTGCGTGTCTTTACCCAAAGGAGATGGCCAACCTTTCCAGCATGAAAATGAAACCAGTTGTTAGTCTTTTTGTATATATCTGTACAATTTGTGTAAATAAATAAAAATAATTAATAGTGTTTTACTCAATGAAAAAACAGACTTAAAACACATCACCCTCTAACTGAAAATCAAAACCAAAACAGCACAATGTACAATGTTATCTGCTAAAAGTTCACATATAAACATTAGGACAGTCTTTTAGGTCTTGTGGAAATGACTTTTCTGACAGTATTCTTGTTTCTTATGTCCACCATTTTCACACTGCCCTGAATTACTTTACAACTTGCTGATAAAAAACCTTGTTTGCACTGACTGGTGATTTTACATGGAACTTTGAACAGAGAAGTCACATACAACCAAATACAGCTCATGCATGTAAATATTCTTATTTTAATTTCAAAAACGTTTTGAGAGAATGAAAAAATAGAACTGCTCAAGCTGATCGGCACAAAGTCTAATGAAATGGTTGCCTTAAGTTGTTTTTGTTTTGTTTTGTTGCTTTTTCATCTTTAATATCCAAGTTACTTTGCTTGAAATGTTTGGAACTTTTAACCACAACTTTTCAAAGACATAATAAGGAATATTTCTTTTATTGGCGTAAATAAAATGCTCTAACAAAGAAATCACTGTTGTTTTGGATATATGTGTTTCAGATAAGAAGGGGCATGGTTCAATGAAGAATTGTTACTTGAGACAAAATATTAAAAACAGAAAAAAAGAAGCTTAGTTTAAAAAAACAGTCAAAAAGAATTTATGGAACAGTTTCATTTTTCATTATTTCAGAGATAAATAACTAAATATACTGTGAAAATGTCTGAAAAAAAATCTGGTATGATTTCAACATGAAATACAAATACTTCATTTCCTGGTCTTTTAATTTTTGATCAGGTTGGTATATCAACAACAAAACAAATCCAGAGGAGAAATATCCAAAGAAAAGTTGTGTTAGCTTGGTTGTCTATGTAACCTCAGACTAATAGCTTGACTAATTTTGATTTTTAAACTTGAAAAAAAGTTTTTAATGGAAGAGTGGTTAAATATTGCCAAGTTAAAATATGGGTTCTACCAAGGAAGGTACATTGGTTTAAGAATATGTATCCTCAACTCAGTTATCACAGTTTTCTTTTATTTTCCAAGACTAAACTGAATAGTTTTCACGGAATTCATGAAATGAAATCAGACTTGTAAAGCTCTTGTCACTACCCTCAAAAACACTTTACAATGAAATCTGTTATTTCCATTCACTCACACAGTCCCACCCTGACGACAGCCAGCTACTGGATTTGGATACATCATAATACCAGTGGAAGATATTCTGAAATTATCACCTTTTTAACAGCGATTTAGACCACGCTCATTTAATAATTCAGAAAACTATTAATTTTAATGAGCATGGAGGAAAAAAAAGGTATGGCATTATTTGTGCTCTTTTTTTATAACATGCACATTTTTATTTTTGTTATTTTTATTACTGCAGATATTTTCTTTGTGAGAAATGTTACCACTTATAACCCTATATATTGGCCAGCATGTTTCTTGGATTTTGAAATTTCATTTCATTTTATGAATGAAAATCATTTTATTTTATTTAATTTTAATTATAGAAATTTAATGGGTATTTTCGCTCAGTCAAAATTTAGAGTGAAAAATTTGTATCGAAGTTGACCTACGGCAAGCTAATTACGGACAAAAGACGTCACTATTAACGATAACACCTTACGTCATAGACCGGAAATAGTTGAGAAGACACCCGGACATTTCTTTTGTACACCGTCGGAATCTAGTTTTGTATAATTTTCTAGAGCTCCCAATTTGCTGTTTTAGATTTTCATACTGGCTATTAAGCGATCTATCATTAAGCTGTAACTCAAAGATATTGCTTAAGCTTACCTGGAATATTTTTAAGGGAACGGGAGGGCTGTCTGTAGTAGCCTCTGGGCTAGGCTACTATTAGCCTAGCATTTAACTCTTGCTAGCTAATAACTTCAGTTTATGTTGCTTGTCAGAGCAACTTGGATAGAATATTACCTGTTCAGACTGAAATTATTATTAAGAGCGATTTAAATACACGTTCAAGAAATATGGCGGTTGTCAACGAAAGCGCTCTGAAGAAAATGCTGAAGGTAGGCTTTGCTCTCAACGGCTATAGGTAACGTTAGCTTGATATGACTATGACTTAATATAAATAAGCTAACATACCACAGAAATACGGACGAGGAAACAGGGTTTTTTGTCACAATGTAAGGTTTTACATGTACAATGATGTGACCCATTTTGTCGAGATACCTCACACTAATGCGAGTTATACTTTTAAAAAGATATTTAGCCGCACGTTTTACGTCAACTGCGATTTTCAGATTGTGCCATGATCATAGTCTGTTTATTAATGCCCCACCTTACAGAGTGAACTTTGGTACCTTTAATAATGATTGAAAAAAAATCACTAAATAATGCTTGAGGAAAATCTGCTATGTTAAACTAATCCTCCTTCTTGATGTTTCATGACTTTGGTAAAAGTGCTAATAACTTTAAAGCCGTGTATTGTTTTACCATCACAAAATGTACAAATAATCTCCCATGTTGATCATTGCATAAATGTTTCAGCTTCATCATGAATGTCATCTAGTTTTATGCAGAGGCAAAACAAAACAAACAAAAAAAAACTTATCGCAATTTTAAATTGGTCTATATAAATCTTAATCTACAGTTTTGCTGTAGTTTGCACAATGAATTGTTTCTTATATGCTATAGAACAAAATCAAAGATAAGCAGATGTCTTTTATCAGCCATCAGCAAAGCAACGTGACAATTCTTAGGCTCAATTTTGTCAGTGGTCAAAAATTTTAACTGAACTAAGCTAAACTTGTATTCCTCACATTCATTTCACTGCCTTTCTTTTTCTTGTTCAGCAATATAAATACAGAGATCTGACTGTTCGGGAGATTACCAATGTCATCTCCCAATATAAGGACCTGAAGCCAGTTATGGATGCTTATGGTAAACTAACTTATGCCTACTTCTCTATTTTTGTCAGCTTGATCTATTTTTACCCTGCATGCTCATACGAGGATTTGCATCTTCTTGTGTTCTAGTGTTTAATGACGGTTCATCGAGAGACCTAATGAGCTTGACTGGGACTGTCCCTGTGAGTTACAGAGGTAAAATAATTTGTTCACTATTGATAATAAAAAAAAAAAAAAACTGCAAAAGAATGTGTAGCATAATTGTACATTAAGTTTACATAACATTTCACCTGCAGTTAATAAACAGCACAAAGTCACTGGTTATAGGGGAGAGGATAATGTCCATGAACTAACTTAATTAATTTAATGGGACTCTTTATTTTACTTTTCTCTAGGGAATGTCTACAACATCCCAGTGTGTTTGTGGCTGCTGGACACATATCCATATAACCCACCTATATGTTTTGTAAAACCAACCAGTACCATGATGATTAAGACGGGCAAGCACATTGATGCCAATGGCAAAATTTACCTCCCTTATCTACATGAGTGGAAACATGTAAGTATGGTCAATATATGAAAAATAATTAGAATTATATATTTTTAGATATCCATAGTTCTGGTTCTGTTTGCACCTGACCAGAAGAGGCGTGTGTGAAAGCTTTGAGAGTATTTTAGCTGAATGCTCAAACCACATCACCCAGCTAGTAGGGCTGGGTGATATGACCCAGAATGTAAAACAAAATGTAAAACATGTGTATAAAACAATATGGTAGGCACTGGATGGGCCAATATCACTCCACATTTTGTATTGTAGGGGTTTTTTTTATTTGTTTTTTTACCACCACAGCCAGATTATAAAGAAAACTAAAACAAAATTCTGACTTGTTTTTGTCCTAGTGCATGAAACAAATCTCTGTGTGCTTTACAGCCCCAGTCAGACCTGTATGGCCTGATTCAGGTGATGATTGTCGTGTTTGGAGAGGAACCGCCTGTGTTTTCCCGACCCACCACACAACCCCCCTTCCCAAGCTTTCAAGCAGCTGGACCCCCGAACTGTAAGTGAACGACTGTTTTATTTTAGTGACTATCAGTGTAACTAAACATTTTTCTAATATTTTTGACATCATTTATACCAATGATGGTATAATTTATTTTAGACACATATTTTATTGGAAGGATTACTTTTTGAGACCACATTGTAAATATTCCTTATGGCAACAGATGACATAATATGCTCTATTTAGAGGATAAATGCTATTAAATACACCACTTATTTAATTAAGTCTGTTTTAAGAAAGTTGTAAGAATATTGTTCAAATACTATTCGAAGTCCAAAACATTGTACATAATTTACAACCAGGAGTAGGTTATTTTTAGCAGTGGCTCTAAGTTGGCTTTGCATCAAAATTTCTCATAATCTTTTGTCTTTCTCTTTCCTACCATCATATTTCACAGAATGCATTTATTACCTTGAGCACCTGGGGGTGCTCACATACCATGGTAGCTCATCAGGACTCAAGCTAGATCTTCCCTGGAGTTACAGGGTTTTAACTATTTAATCCTCAAAAAAAGTGTTGTAATTATTCTGATATACCTTTTGTCTTCCTCAGCTTCCTATATGCCTGGAATGCCTGCAGTCTCACCCTATGGGCCAAATCCCAATCCAGGGTAAGATATTTCTACATTGTCAAAGCCTGCATAATGTGTTTTCTGACAAACAAGTACCATGCCACTGACTGTTGTTTTAATTCATAGGATTGTCAGACAGGTGTTTTTATCAGTGATAACTTTTGTTCCTTATATGTAAATATCCACAACAAAGGCCTGCACTTAAGTAAATGTAAAATGTGAAGTCGATAGAAATTAGAATTTGATCTTTTTTGTTTATTATTTGCCTCATACTGTGATGACATAGTCACAGTTTTAACAATTAGGTAAAAACATGAAAAAAGGTAGGATTTAAAAAAAATTAAAGTTACATACTACACTTTTAAGGCTAATCATATATTTGCAAAGCATTCCTATCAAGTATCTCTAAATACTGGCTTGAATTTTAACTTGTAACCATTACATACTTCTAGATAAATACTCACATAAAGACCTAATAAGACCAGGGCTCAAGTTTACATAGGGGCATGATAGAGTTCATTTTGGGTAAACTTGGTCCAGACTCTCCCTGATTACTCAGTCCTGAAGGAGCATTACTCTGGTCCAAGTGACCCAGAGATCTGGTTTAACTCAGTCAAGGGTTTTTATGGTTACCAGGTTCTGGATCAAGAGAGTTCAGTCCAAGTGTACCTAGGGTTAATGGATTTCTTATGTTGTTAACTTAGCCTATGCTCACCCTAATTACTCATTTCTGGTTCAGGGAGATTTTGATCCGAGTTGGTCCTTTTCAGTTGACTTTATTCTTGGTAACCTAGATCAAAAGTTACTCTGGATCTCTGGTTCTGGAATAAAGGAGTTTGGGGCTTTGTTAACTGTTTAATCATTATGTTGAACAGAAATTATCTCATTTTTATTTTAGAAGGACACAGTAGAGCAATATTCTGGCAAAATAGTTAAGAATAAAACATGTGAGCTGAAAATTAAAATAATGTAAGCAATGTGGAGTTTACTTCTAGGGTTTCATCTTCAAAGTTTTGTTTATAAATGGA